GTGTTTCTATAAACATGCTGCATGTTGCATACTGTGCCTGATGTACAGAAAATGATCAAATGTTCAGACTGTGTCAGTTGGCTTAGAATAATTTTTCAAAATGTAAGATTTATTTAATTCTAATTGATGATAATTACATAAACATGTGAAATGTATGAGACTTCTTTATACATTAATGGTTAAAAGTATGAAATGTATGAAGTTCCATTATACACTAATGGTTAAAAGTATGAAATGTATGAAGTTTCATTATACACTAATGGTTAAAAGTATGAAATGGTGCGCGTGTGTTAATGGACAATGTTGTATATAATATGCTTATTATCATTGTCGACATGTATCCAAGAAAGATCAGTCTTTAAAGATTTAACAAACAATGGTAAATGTTGTTATTCTATAATAGTGATGGAACATATTTATTATGTAGTAATATGTAAGTTGTGATCTCGTTCAAATGGCGGATAACAGCAGATTTGTTAAAATCCTATGGACAGTAATATTGTAGTTAGAATAATGGTTTTAACATAATTAAAGGAAGACATTAGTGACATAATCATATGTGGAAGTATAGTGTCCACCCTTATAAAAGTCGTGTAAGATAAAATCATATAGTATCACGTGTAAAATGAAATATTTTGTCAAGTTATATTGATATCATAAAGTCAAACTAGTGAAAGTGAAGGTTTTAGTTATTGGATGATATTCAAATAAGCATCTTTCTTTACACTAATTCATTAGTTCTATATTTAATTAAATTTTCTGGCCAATTATATGTAAATTGTACAGAAAAAGGACGATTAACACTAATTCATTAGTTCTATATTTAATTCCATTTCCTGACTGTTTATATGTAAATTGTCCTTAAAAAGGACGATTAACACTAATTCATTAGTTCTATATTTAATTACATTTCCGGACTGTTTATATGTCAATTGTCCTGAAAAAGGACGATTAACACTAATTCATTAGTTCTATATTTAATTACATTTCCTGACTGTTTATATGTCAATTGTCCTGAAAAAGGACGATTAACACTAATTCATTAGTTCTATATTTAATTACATTTCCTGACCATTTATTAATAAGTTGTCAGGAGTTTTTGTTTCAACACAGGTTGACAACGATAATGAGCATGATATTTATACAATATTGTCCACACACACACAGACGAATACACACGAACTTAGTTTATAAATGCAAACCAACCTTACTTTACAACAATCAGCTTAGTTATACTTTCACATTTCCTGAACATTAATATGTAAATCGTCCTGAAGAAGGACGATTAATTTTTAAGTTTGGATCCCACAAAGATAGCAATGACATGTTTGTTCATGATTTTGTTGTAATACATTTTCATGTACATACGTCCTTAATAGATGCGTCTTTTTATGTAGATCAGATTGAAAAATATTTATTGGGAGAAAATTAATAAATTGTTAAAAAGAAATAATATGTCCAGATTTTTTTTTAATTATAACCGTGTTACCGAAACTATTTGAAATAATTGCTTGATTTATAATTAAAGAGTCAAATAGTAAGTTTTAATTATTGCATGATATATAAATAAACGACCTTTTTAGGATGATTTAAATATAAATGATCAGGAAATGTATAGAACTAAGGAACTGGTGTTTTATACCGACTGTATTAATTAGTCATGTTGAGACATGTTGATCAAATATGTGCTGGTCTCTGACATATTGGTCGCCTGTTTTGGCGTCTTAGCAACACGTCCCAAGCAATGCACCACTGGCGACAATTTGTGGAACTATAACTTCATCATCTCTACCCTTTCTCCTCCCTCCATATTGCCTGACGACCCTCTACTAAGGCGGCATCTTTTAGGCAGTAAAGTTAGGGCGTAACTACTAGCAGGTAGTGTAACATCCAAATGTTCTGTTGGTCATACTATCCTGGCGTCAGAAGGACTAGCTCACTAATGTTTGAACTTGTCGCAATGATTTATATACACCAAAATGTTGCATTTAACTTTCAATACGTGATGTCTATCAAGATAACTCATCACGTCAGACTAAAACTTTTGCCGTCATAGTGACTGCCATTCATTATAAAATATTCATTTGTATTGTTTAGAAAAAGAGGGGAATGAGCAATAAGAAAATTGAAAACAAGGATGATGTAGGAATGACAATGTCAAAAAGTACAGAACTACGGAAGGGATGAATACACAAAACCATACAAAAATACCTACATAAGTTGCCACTTAATAAATTTTACAAGCTTATGGGAATTCGCTATTCTAATACTTTGTAGCATTATTCAGTTGAAATACTTTTATTCAAATCTAAATTCGTGCAAATGAAAGGAATTCAACATTTAGCAATTGTAAATAAAAGTTTTTCTTGGAAAGATTCGGTTACGTACGCAGGGAGTTTTGTATGGTTTTGTGTATTCATTCCTACCTTGTTTCTGTACCTTTTTGGCATTGCCATTCGTACATCATCCTTATTTTTTTTTCAAAAGTTTGTTATTACTTGTTGTAATTTAAAGATAAGCATAGTTGCCAACAGTTGGTAAGGTCCTGAATAACATATTCTCAAACGAAATGGATAACTGATTTCACACTGACATTAGGCAAGGTTTCTTTTGGTAATCGAATAATTATAGTTTGATACTAAAATTGTATTTTGATGAATATTAACTTTAGTGTATATATGTGATAAATTCACACACACACACACACATACTAATGGCCAACAGTCTGAATCTAAGATATTAATACTGAGCTTTTAATGCAATGTTGTAAAAGAAAAATTTATTTTGGTTTATATGTGATATTTAGACTCTTTTGGTATTGGAAGTCCATTTTAGAACATAGCAGCTTGAATATTTAATATCTAGCAAGTTTACATTATGACATTGATCAGTCATGAACGCAACTATTATTTTAAGACTATCAATCAATGCTCAGTGGTTCCTTTAATTTTTGCTAGAGAAGCTTTCTAGGCTTCCATAGGTTAGTTTTCCCTAACAGTACTTTTCATATGATGTTATAATTTTCCAATCGGACTGACATCAGGACTTTGGCTGTACATTTCATAACTCACCAGTGCTCTTCTTTCTCCTCCAAGTATCTCTCATTTAAAATGACAGTACTTTTTGGATCATTCTGCTGTTGAACTTCAAATAGCAGGTAAATTAAACGTCATATACTGTGTAATGCGTGAAAAACCAAAATATTTTTGTGCTGTTCCTTTTTTTTTACAATACTATGAATTTGATGAATATCCCTCTTTCCTACATTATAAAAACATCCCACACTGTCATAGGCTCACCACTATGTTTCGTTGTTTCGATTACACACACTAGCCTAAATGTTTTGTAAGTAATTATAAAATGTCCAGTGTTTGTTTCTACATTTTTTAGCTAATTGCCCTATTCATTTTTACTATTTATTTGATTCTTAATAAAAAATTTAAAACTCGACAATATACACATGAAATTTGTCTTTTTCTTCTGGATATTTTTCAAATCGTTTTAACGTTAAAATTATTCAAAACACAATATCTTCTTCGATGACGGGGAACCCACTTTAATACTAATAATGCTTGGAGACGACTTGAATGGGTAATGAAGAAAAACTTTACCTGATGATGACAAAACCTTGTCGAAACGTTGTACATTTGCTGTTAAACTTATATTAAAGTTTTTCTCATTACCCATTCAAGCCGCCTCCAAGCATTACAGTATCTTCTTGTTTATATATTTTGTTTTGGACGTCACTTTCTCTTATTAGGCTTTAAACTCCCAATAGTTCTTTGATCCCTACCATTTAAAACACCAAGTGTTTCTACTTATTATGAAAAAGAATCCTTTGAGTTCGTTTTTTTTGTTACTTAATTCGGAATGATTTTTCTTATTTTTACAGTTTTAGCGATGTTGGAACTAGAACATTCTTTGGTCAGTGTCGAAACTTTACCACAATTCATTAAACTGAAATAGGAGTTTTCATGACTTAAAATAGTTGTGAAAAATAAACGTATCGTCGTGAAAACATCTATCAATGGATCAAGCCTATTCAGCCCAAATTAATGACAAGCAGTAATTGATGTGCTATTATCATGTGATAATATGGACGAACTATAACAAGTTCTATGGCGCTTCAGCTTGAATGAGACATTCCATCCCGATTATTGACATAGTGCACTGTGTACGATTATTTTTAGTGTAATTATATGACAAAAAGAGAATATAATAACACAGAGAAATACCGTTAATGTTTTCTCAACAGTGATTCTCATTTTTTCAAAATTTGATAACAAAATATATTTTTTTTCTTGTTTTTTTTTCCATTGGTAACTGTGGATATTTATCCTTTATTGCTTGTGACATAAAACTGCTTACAACTATAATTACCGGTTATAAGACGACATTTTTGGATTAATAATTAGGATGTAAAATTCATAGTCGCCTTATAATCGCGGCTGATCACAGGCCCATTCACTCTACTTTAGCCTGTCGCATTCCTGAATGTCCAGATAGCATCCCTCTACGCATGCGCACCAGATGTTTGCTGAAGGCCATTGCTAATTTTTGCAACTAATCCACCTGCAGGCTGTTCAGTTATAGTATTGGTTTTGGTCGGACCTTAAAAAATGACTTTATGATGCTAATTTTTTTTTCTTTCCCATGGTTTCTGAAAATGGGGGTCGCCCTATAATCAGGCCAATATATGATCCCATGAAGTATTTTGTTATAAATGTATATTAAATTTTATGTGTATGCAAGATGATAGAAAAAAAGAGGAAGATAAAACTGGAGAAAATATTTGTTTTTAAATCAGATCTTTTTTAAGTTCATCATTCTCCATATACCCATTTGCAAGAGTACCTGACTTAAAGTATTTCATTTTCAACACATGAATTAGAGAAGAAAAATTACTTTTTCAAGAAACAGTTTGTCCAACCAGACAGAGAATTTTTCAAGTATAGTACCCCTGAGTAAATTATTGAATAGATTTTTTTTCAGCGACTTACCCGCACTTGACTGTGGCCAAATCGGAAAGCTGCAGCTGCGAAGTTGTTGTTGAGAGACGCGTCTACGTCATCATCGTATCCGGAGAAATATCCGTCCTCAGCCAGAGTAAGATTATATTTTTGGATAATATCTTTGCCTAAATAATAACAGTAATCACCCCGTAATTATTTAACTTTGAAGAAAAATATTGAAAACAGTGCAGTTAGAGCATTTAATGTGAAAAAAAAATTACAAATATAAGATTTGTGAACATCTTAAATCTGAGATCTAAAAGTTCGATAGTTCACAAAACTTGTAATACTGATCAATACTCATGGTAGTGAGTCGTACGGCTAAGGAACCTCACACGTTTCAACAGCTACACTTCAGATAGTCGAGACTGTAAACCACCAATACATTAGTAGTTAGCACATAAAATATGAAACAAATCCTTGGAACCATTGCAGAGATCTGGCCTAGCCGAATTTTACCATATAGTTCATTTTCGTTTTCGCACACCGAATTTGTTTTTATGGCGAGATTGTTGAACCTTCAAACCTCAGTCACCATCTTAATGTTTGTCAAACTGCTTTGAAATTATTATCACTACTTCCTTCATGTTCACTCTACCAGCAATAGTGTTTGTGGTTCAAAACAATAAGTGTTGGCCTACAGGGCTGGTTTTATCTAAAACAAAATCTAGGTTTTAAATTTACTATAAACTTTACAGGAATAAACAATACAATTACTTTTGTTTTTGTGTAAAAGTTCGTGGAATTCTGACGAATATTATATTGTAAGTTGCTTCTAAAATTGTAAATTGCCAGTGCCAATGAGTGGAATTTAGATTGGCTTCATATGTAAACACGCGAGACTCGCGAGTTTTAATTGTTGAAGTTTAATTTATAAGTATATTTTCCATACACTTAAGCCTATATACTCATGTGCACTGTAGCTCGTGCTTGCTATATAACCGTAGGATTTGATTGTATTCCAGTATTATTTACTGTTCACTGTGTGAGTGGTGTGTGTTTACTGTCTACGAGTTATTATCATGTACCTATTAATATATGGGCTTGGTAAGTGGTTTTGGCTGACTGGCAGGTTTGGGCCAGAACTGTCGAAGTTTTGACTATGACGCACTATTCAAATGTGATATTAATATGTTGTGTATGCCTAGTGCTAACATTAGCAAGGGTTTTTGTCGTTAGATACATGTGTACAAAGGTATAAGTATTTCACAAAAAGATATGATATCTAAACCAAAAACATGGGTGTAAACAAAAAAAGGCGCGTCCAAAAAAAACGTTATTTGTTATACAAACAGAGACTAAATGAATTGATATCAGAATGCGGCCAAGGCAATCAATTGTATTGGATACATAGTTTAAAATTGTTTGCTAAAAAAAAAGTTAACTCTATACATGGTTTAGAATTATTTTGTTATGGTTATCAATTTGTCATTTGGCTGCTTTTGTGTATGTTAGTATTGACATACGATTATGTGTATATTAGTATTGACAAAAAAAAACAAGTAACACATACTTGTGCTGTCGTTAGTAAAACTGATAAACATAACAAAGTAATTTTCAACCAAGTATAGAGTTTAGTTTTTTTAGCAAACAATTCTAAACTATGTATCCAATAATATTGATTGCCTTGGCTGCATTCTGATACCAATTCCTTCAGTCGCTTTTCTTGGACGCGCTTTGTTTTTTTTTTTTTTTTTTTTTTACAGCCAAGCCGTTTTTGGTTTAGATGTAATTAAAAGTATAAGGACCAGCAAAATAATTTACTGGCAAGTTTCAAGACTTATTGTCATGTCTTTGTATAAGTCTAAATTTAAACCTCATTTGTATTTAAATTTTTCTATTTGTATTAATAAAATAAAAGATGGAAAACTTCCACCATAGATCTTCCTAATCCAAACAAAGTTTCATGTATCTTACTTAGATATTTCTGGTAATATATTGACCACGTGGCATTTTGAAATAGACAACAAATAAAACGTTGTTCATCACATGCCCTTGTTACCTACAGGAACGTTTAGGAACCAACTGTCGACCATACCTTGTAGTGTATAATAAGGAAATTATTAATTAGTTGAGTATATTTCACACTTTTTAGTTGACAAAGAGGAATATCTGAAAATCAATATTTACTTATTGATGTTAAAAATGAAAAAGATTTAAACAGAAAACTAAGTCGGCATTAGTAACTGTAGTAATGCAGATTGTATATATACGAAGGATAATAACGTTATGTTAAAACCATTTTGGAGTATCACTACGTCGTTTACAGATATGTCGCCAGTTATGCTTTATCTGACGACCGTGTATATCGACACTAGCTCTGTAGCATAGTTTGCTTAGTAAAAGGCTCCGCCGTAAGGTCGTCGTGTCCAAAACACACGCTGCTCCTTCTTGATGTCTTCCTATAAATCATCTTGTGCCCGATGACGACAATTTCACAGCACTCGTTTCAACAGCCCGACCTCACAGAAATACATAGAGGCTGCGTCCGGCGAGTTGACCGCTATTTCTTCATACGGAATAATATGAATATCCGCTTCATTCTTCAGCTGTTTGGGGTATGCGTCATTTGAACGGATATATCGTGAAAACACTCATGACTTGGGTTGCTTTTAAAGACGAAAATCCTTCTTGATTATCTTGTGCAATGTTGTCTGGCACACTTTAAGGCTTTTCCCATTGACCTTTGCGTTCATCGTGGATTCTCATCTTTGCACATGGCTTACCACGGCTAGAGTATGACTTGTTTCAGGTCTCTTTCTGATTGGTCCTGGTGCCCCAAGTTGAACCATATTATTTTGTTTATTGTTAAATATAAGGGATATTGGCATCTTGGAAATCCTGAACCCCCGATTTGAATACATCTTTATGATTTAAATGTATGAATGTCTTGCGTCAGTAAGGGCTGTTACATAACCTACCCAAAAGCGAATAATTTTCGGTAGCATCAAACTATCTACCAAATCCTAAACAATGTCAAAATGTAATTCTGATAGATGCCTTTCCACCGCGACTTTATATCATATGTGATTCTCATGTGAGCTACTGATTTGTATATTAAAAATCGCTTTAATATAATGTACTCATCCCTCTTTATGATAAATTTTGTGAAGATTGATCTAGTTTAACTACGTTTCCCAAAATACTAAGTTATCAATTAATTTTCTAAATATATCTTGAACCTGTAATGTATACATACACACATAAATAGGGGAAAAATAAAATTTTAACTGAAAGTAGAAACATTGGTTCTTTGTAGAATTACTATAAGAAGTATCTTAAACAACATAAATGCTGCAATAAAAAGTACACAAAGAAGTACAGTTATACAAGTTCGATAGAAGTTTAAATGATTTTCAATCCCTACTTTGGTTGGCATTGTGATCCGTATAGTTAAATGAAGCAGTCTAAACGGATCACAATTTAATTATTTTTTCCTATTTATTTGTTTAGTTTTTATATGTCTATGGAATGGACACAGCATTTATAAACTTTCAGTATAGCCATATCACTGTAGTTATAACTTTTACAAGAATTAAGACCACAATCACAAATTTATAAAATTTAATTCTTACTTTGGCCTACAGATAAGTGTATAAAGCTGCCAAAGTATGGATTAAATTTTATAAATTTATGATTATGGTTTTCATTCTTGTTTCATTACTTGTTGTAGCAGGATTCCTACTTCATTTCAAAATTCATAATTTTATAATATTTTTGTTTGTTTACGCTTATGTTATACCTGTATAAAGTATATACTTTACCTTTAGAAACTGTCACGTGTCTATCCATCGATATGTAGCGCCATCCGTTGGGTTGAAAAGATATTTAACTACGTGCATGATATGTTTACCACATATATTATACCTCTGTGTGTGTGTATATATATATACATATCTGTGTGTGTGTGTGAATTTTTATCGGAATATCAAAAGTAGATACCTACAAGCCAGTCAAGTAAGTTGAAGAAATCTTGTAGCGATAGTGCGAGTAGTGATCAGGTAGGTATTGGACGAAAAAGTTACTGTTTTAGAAATTTGTGTATTGTTTTACCGGATATGTTAGCGACCTTTTTAGCGTATTATTAGTATATATGCGCACAATATATCGTAACCAATACTTTGAATGGTGGTTTTTCGCTTAGGAATTCGATAGGGTGGCTTTTTGGCGCGTCAATTATTTGGAATCTTTGTCGATTCCTACTATTAAGTACTACCGTACTTAATAATATATAGCTTTTGCACACGATATAAAACACATCAAGAGCTTTATACTATTGTAATTTAAAGGTCTAAGTTAAGCAAAGATCTCAAAATGTGGTTAGGAGTATTTTCTCACTACTAGTTCACAGTCTTAATGCCAAAAAATGCTAGAAAGAAACATTAAGTAATTGAGATATTTGAAACAGTATTCTAAACGAACTGTGAAAAGATAGAATAAACTGTAAACGAAAATGAAATTGTTTCTTTGTCTTACCTAACAATAATGGTAAGTATTCACTGTAAGTTATATGCTGAATCTCGGCGATGACAATTCGACGTGTCTCTTGAAAAATGGTTTCATCAGAACAATTAGTATTTAAATCTTGAATAATTTTAGCAAGTCTGTTGTGTTCTCTCATCCAGATGGCGTGCATAACCATGAGATTCACGTGTTCGTTTGTACGACTGTCCCCTGAAAACAAAATTTTAAAAACAAGATATTATACAGACTATAATAATGAGAGCGAGATAAAAACAACAAGAAAACCGGCAGTATTTCAAAACGTGCTGCAAATTGAACGCTGGAGAAAATGATAAGCTTATCAGTTTAGCATTATATTTCCAATGACAAACCGCTAACAAACTGTAAACTCTGTGCAAGGTACTTGTCTCGGAGAAAAGTCTGATTTTATGCAGAAAGAAAAAACAAGAAGTGACGATCACGTCTTCTCAAAGTTTAATAACTTTTTTATTGCACATTGAACGAAACTTTATAGTCTGGGCTGAAGAAGATTAAAGGACAGGTTGTCGTCTAAGCAACAGTTTGGCAACTCTTGCAATAGTTTTGTACTGGTAATGATTTAGTAACCATAGATACAAGCTTCTATTATGTGTGTGTGTGTGTGTGCATATACATATATAAAGTCACAGGAAACTTCCAAACTGCTTGAAAGTAGTTGTTTGTTTGATGAGGAAACTTATTCAAAATACTAATAGTTTGTTTTCACTCCATACCTTTTAATTAGGTTTCCAAAACTATCAAAATATAAATAAAATAGTAAAATATATCAAGAAACGAACCTTGAGTATAATTAGCGTTTGTTTAAAACGTGTGGAACCACTAGAGGATAACAAAGAAGCCAGCCCCTAGTGACACAGGGTGTGTCTGCGGACTTGCAACGCTAGAAACCAGGTTTCGATACCCCTGGTGGGCAAAGCATAGATAGCCCATTGTGTAGCTTTGTGCTTAACTTCAAACAAATAAAGAAGCCCATACTGACGTGATACATTTTTCACATTCGACAAAACTGATGATTCAATTATCAATAACACAAAGACCTAAAAGTCAGGTTAAATTACTGATTTTACTGTCCAAACATTATGTGGCAATCGAGGGTTAACATGTGAACATATATGACTGATTACAAACAAACATATTTTGCTTAACCCCTTACTGGTAGATCTGCTTGAAGTACAAAAGAAAAAATGAAAGTTTAGAAACCAGCTAAACAATTAAGAATTTCCCATTTGTGTTAAGTCTACAAAATAATTATAATAACAACTATAATTCTTGCTATTATTTTATCAATGACGCTATTCCACGGAAAATCCCATGTTAGAGCAAAGCAGCATTAAGTAGACTGACTATAATATACCTGGAAATTAGGGTGAACGAGTTATAATAGCATGACTGGATGTTTGGTTGGTTGCATTATGATATCTCTGGTATTTGATGGGTGGGTTATGATTGAGTGATGTATTATAACCAATGGTTACTTTATGATTTTGTAACCCTCTTTGTATTTGCAAACGACTTAGAATAGATACATATATATTCATAGCCTTACACGCAAGTATTAGACACCCTCTTAAAGTTTGTGCAATGTATCCAAATTTTTATATTACTATATGACTACAAACTCCTATGCCTAAGTTAAAACATTGTTGTAACTGTTCTGCTGTTGGTTGTTTTCTGATTTCCATTAGTGTTTTTGTTTTTCAAAGAGATAATCAGCACCACTAATATCCCGAATAGACAGTAGGCGACACGCCCTTCCGGCCAAATTTTAGCCTTAATTACAACATATGGGCGTCTGTATGGATGTGTTATAACATACCTGGGTGTTAGGGTGGCTGGTTTGTCACATACCTGGATGTTTGGTTGAATGTATTTAATATCTAGTTAAAGTAGATTCATTAAACATCTAAGTAGTTTGGGAAATGTATTTTATCACATTTAGCGATTGGGTGAGATATAACATATGCTTGTCACCTAAAAAGCTTTTTATGTATATTTCTAGCTACAGGTTTTCCAATGCGACATTGCACTGTTGGATTTCTGATGAACCAAACACGTATGGACGGGGCGTGGCCTAGTAGCTAGCGTAACCCGATTGAGGATCACTATGTTCAAGGTTATTGTCGCTAACCCACCCAACCTACTTAGCACTTTCAACTGTGTATGCGTTGCAATTCCTTTAATCAATTTAAAACCAGACAAATCCCCCTATGACGTTAGTTGCTGATTACTGGCTGCTTTCCCATTTGTCAGTTGGCTTTATTTAATCCTAGGAGAAATCCAATCCAATCGAGCATGGTAGGAATTTAGGTTAAAAGTATAACCAGGGGCGGTCAGAAACTTCTTAATCCTAGGAGAAGTCACTGACCTGGCCTCTTAAAACATGTGCCCATAAGCTGTCGTTCAGGCGAAAATACAAAATGTCCAAGATATATTGCTAAAGATGTCGTTCATGGCGTAACGTCTCGCATCTTCAGCAACTTGCCACGCAACATCTTGAAACCTCGGCGACATGCCAAGCAATGTCTAGAATCTGTGACATCATGTCACGTAATGTCTCTAATCTGCAGCTACATGTCACTGTATTAGCATATTACAAATCGTTCATAAAGTGTATTTAACTTTCTGACACCAACTTTAGGTTTCCAGCAAAATATGTAGATAGATAAAAGTCTAACTTGAACCAGTATAATGAACATTTATGATTAATGATAATAGCTATTTTTATCATTAAAAAAACATGTGTGTGTGTAAAGCAACGATAATTAGACGGGTTATAAATATTTTATTGCCTATTCTAATGATTTGAAGGCGGTTTCTGGAATAAGTCGTTCTGCTGCACGCTGGATTGATAAGTGATAAAGTGTAAAAAAGCATTCTATTCTTGATATCCTTAGTACAGTCACGCACTGTACGTAAACAATGGTTTGTTCCAACTCCGAACATTATGACTCAAGTAGAACCAATCTATGGATACTGTTGGAAGAATTTACTTGCAAAGGTAAAGATCTGAATATAATTCACAAAACAGCTGATTAACACACACACATATGCAGTATTGGAAAACTTTAAGAAGATGCAACATCCCTTCCTAGCTAGCAAGCAGTAAACAAGTTTCAAATTTGACTGTTTTCCTCAAGTTGCTGAAAGGTTTAACAAACGTATAGTAAACATTAAATATTTAATACCCTAGATCATTTCCGAAGAATATTTTATTTTTCCAAATGTAGAACAGCGAGTTGAAGATACTACTCACCAGATATAAAGCAGTATTGACGTCGTTCTGGATTTCCACACGAGGTTTTTTTATCTTTCTTCATCGGTAACATTTCTCTTCCACGCATGTTACTCGACTTCAGCGTTCCTTGAAGAAAAAAACAAAAACCAGTAAATTATTTAACAAAAAGAGTTTATCCCTCACATTACCGACTGATCGCTACTGGCGAGGTTAACATATTGATTAATTTTATTGTTTTGCAAGTTATGACATTCGGTGATCCCCAGAGACTCGGCGGAAACTCTTGAGGCTTATAGCGCTAAAAACTCTTACTTAGATCAAATTATTATTTCGTTTACCACAATGAACATTTTTGTTATTATATTTTTCAACAAAAATACAAACAAACTGAAGAAAGTGGAAGAACATTGATATCAAACGAATATGCATCCTCATTCATCCCGATTCTTTTGTGAAATATACGTCTTTAACTCTCAAATTACGTGTTGTGGTCTTTCTTTTATATATTGCCTTATGACGTTTTGTGAAAAATCTGTACGTGATGGAGAAAAATAGATGTCATTTTCGGATTCAGCCTACAGGATTTACTGTATAATATGTTAACATTTCAAGACAATAAAATCATCGCAGGCTTGTGTAATTCATCTTAAACTAGGCTATTTCATATCTGGTTTTATTTAAGAATCCATAATATTTCTAAACATGTTACTTTTAGGTTTTAGCATTACTTTGAAATTTTTAGACATATTTTTGTGAAGAACAGAACGTAGAAGTCCTGTTGTTGTTTTTTCATTAAAGATCGTCATAACATTCATTTTGACCATGAGCACTGCCTTAACTGCCTCAACATTCAAACGTGGGCAGGTCTGGGCTTCTCACCCCGCATAGACAAAACTTTCGAGAGAGTTTGGCAGCAGGAGGGTACGTGTTACAACAATGAATAAGTGAAGTATGGCTGTTACATTAGTGATTCGATGTGACTGACACTTTGATGTTTTTATCATAAAACCGGGACGATTTGTGCGTTTTCTCGGGACACTGGGACAAACTACCAAAAAAAGGAACTGTCCCGGCAAAACCTGAACGTCCGGTCACTCTAGTGTGTGGATGCATGTCTGACTCATATGTTATAAAAATCATGAAACAGAAAAATTCATAGACTTCACCAGCAATATGGAACATAAATAATATAGAAAAAAATGTTTTAAAAAAAAGCAGACATGGTATAAGGTGATCCATATCAGTAATTCTAGGGTTAAAATACGCATCCTCTCAGAACTACCCCCCTCCCAGAGACTGTTTGAAAATCAATTTAATTTAGTTTAAGTAGCTACTTTTTAATATTTAATACATTGTGCATCTACACCAGAAGGACAATTGTTGTTGTAGTCGCACGACTACACAATAGGCTTTTTCTACGATCTGTCCACAGTATGGAATCGAACTGTGGATTTTAGCGTTGTAAATCCGTAAAATTACTGCTGACCCACCATAGCGTACGAAGAACAGACATAAAAACTACAGAAAGACCGAAAATGTATGTAAGCGTGGGGTCAGCACGAACAAGAACAGAAAAGTAAAATAGCGGAATATAGTAAAAATAGAAAAGCCCAAGTAAACGCTCTTTTTGTTAATATTTTAATTTAAATTTTCAAACTTACCTCCTTTATAACTGCGTAATTGACTAGCCAGTTCGTCCGTGGAACCGTACACACCAGATCCATCCAAAAAGGACGTAATCTGGTTTAACTGTTGTCTTTGGCCTCGACAGCTTTTTTTACCTATATATATCGAGAAAATAGATATTATTTTGTCTAAAAGTAGCAGTTTGGTGGAATTACAGCTACAGTTTTTTACATGGAATTCTCATCAAGTATTTAAGTAAAATTTAACCCTTAATTGTTAAGTTGGGTCTGTATGACTCGAATTTAAGGGGAACGGAAGGGAGTGCAGTGCTCAATGTTAAAGTAAATATGAATTTCACCCCATCCCCTTTCCTTTTAACAAAATCATGCACATAAGGAAATGTTTCGAGAGTGAGACTTCACTGGCTGATTTATTCTCGATGGAATCACGCGAGTACAGCTATAGTCGGACTGATTGTCCTTGTCCTAAATATTACCTTCCTCAACCATATGTAAGGTTAGTTTTACTTTTATCTTCTGCTAAGTTATTATGACTACTCTTTATTTTGATTCAGTTAGTGACTGATCGATGTGGTAATTAAATTCACAGTATATACATATATATATATACACACACATGAGAGTGCCAACATATTGTTGCGTCAGAGAGGTCACGTGACTAGTGTCACGCCACGTTTCCTAGAAATATCCTGTTCCTTCAAGAATGCCCTAGCATTTACTAGATATGTGTTAGTCTTGTATATATATATATAACACGGTCACAACGTGACGGGGACAGTGCAATGAGTAATTGAATGTATGTTGATAAAATATTGTTGGCCACGTGAGACGTGAGTGTTTGTTATAGAGCGACTGTTGAAATTAAGTGTAT